CTTTTTAGGTCACTTACGTGTCCTTGTTCATCTTTCACTACCTGGACCACTGTGCATGCTCGTCAGCAAAGCAATATATTGGATTCTTGGTTTTTTCCAATGAGTCGTTGATATAAAATAAAAATAGCTTGGAGACAATATGGATCCCTGGGGAACACCAGCGTTGATGGTGAAAGTATTGAGAGATATTCATCGACGGTCACTTGCACGGAACGTTCTTTCAGAAAGCTGAATGACCATACACAAAAATGATCCTACAAGCCATAGCATCGAAGTTTGGCCAGCAAACCCTCATGCCACACACGGTCGAAGGCCTCAGAAATATCAAGCGCAACAGATCTTGATTCTCCATGTTTCTCTATTGCGTTACTCCAAATATGGAATTGAATCAGAATTATTTCACAGGATTGCTACAGAATATAGTAAATGAATGGGGTGAAATTTCACTTCTTTTTGGTGCCTTGGGAGCTGTCTGACTTGTCTCCAGAAAACACTGCAGCCTCTTGGGCTTATTACGTTTATTCTTCCATCTTCTCATGACACCCATTCCATCAGTCTCGTTCCCTGTACTAGTTTGTACAGGTTCCATGTTGGTGGTTCGTCATATTCTTCTGGACGTAATTTCGTACGTCCATATATTGCCTGCCTCCTGTGATTCAGTGCCTCACATTCGCATAAGATGTGTAGAGGTGTTTCTATCCTTTCGCTGCATGATCTGCAGCTAAGGTCTCCGTTATACAGCCTCATTTTATTCAGGTGTCCTCTAAGCGGACAATGACCGGTTAGTAACCCTGTAATTATTCTGAGCTGGTCCCTATTATATTGAAGTAGTTCTTCGGTTCTTTTCTAGGACGGTTCCCTAATGAAGGTTCTACTGTGTTAGTTGCCAGGTACTTTTGTTCAGTACTCTTTGTGCGTCTTATTGGTCCATGTCCTAATTTGGTTTCATACCAATGATTTTAGTACCCCCAGAGCTGGTTCACGACCTATATATAAAGTTGATGATCCGTGTCTAGCGCATTCATCCGCTTTATCATTACCTGTGATTTCTGAATGCCCTGGAACCCAGTACAAAGTTGATTCGTTCCTGTTTGCAAGTTCATTCAGTTTTCCATGGCATTCCCAGACCAGTTTGACCAGTTTTGATTTCACCTTCGGGTTTGTCTGAGCCTCTAGTGCACTCTTGCTGTCTGTAAAAATATTGATTCGCACATTTCTTTGAGGTCTCAATTGAATAAGCCTTGCACACTGCAAGATAGCATACACTTCCGCCTGAAAAACGGATGTGTATAGTCCTAGCGGATAGCTGTAGTTTAGATTTCTATCCGCTCGGTATATTCCAGCTCCGGTTCCATGTTTGGTCTTCGATCCATCTGTATACCAGGTGTTTTTTCCAAACATGTTTTCGTGATGACTAATGGTCTTCCAATACTCACGGCTCATGCTTTTGGCCATGAATTTTGTGTTAAAGGTGTACTTCGGTGTCATGTGGTCTGTGCACATATTCAATATGTGCTCCTCCACTTGTTCCGAAATTTCTGTTCGGTCCGAGTTTTCCAGTCTGAATTGGCCCATCCTGGTCTCCCTCATTATAATAAAGTGTAAAGGAGATCGATTCAGGAGTGTCTCCAATGCAGCTGACGGGGTAGTTCTCATTGCTCTTGTCATTCCCAAATATGCAAGTCTTTGCACCTTACCTCGTTTGTTGATGGCGGTCGCCTGCTTCATCTTTGGCCACCAGACCAGAGATGCGTATGTTATCATGGGTTTAACTACCATCGTGTATAGCCAATATACCATGTCTGGTTTTAGCCCCCATGTTTTTCCATAGGTGCGTCTGGCGAGCATCAGTGCTATCTCCGCTTTCCTCTTCATCCTGTCCAAGTGTTGGTTCCAGGTCAGTTTGGAATCTAGGATTACTCCCAGATATTTAACCTCCCCCGACACTTGTATTTCTTCATCTCGAAGTTTTAGAGGTCCGAGACCCACCGTTTTAGTCCTCTTGGTGAATGCTACTATGGTCTATATGGATGGGCTTATGGCAAGCCCTTCTTCTTCGGTCCATCCTGTTATAATATTCAGGGTTTTACCCTGGACTGAGATGACTAAGTCGTCTGCATAGCCCAGTGCTTTATACCTATTGTGGTCCAAGAGACATAATAGCTCGTCCATTATGAGGTTCCATAACAGAGGGGTTAGAACACCCCCCCCCCTGAGGACATCCCCTTGCTACCCGTGCCACGACTGTTTCCCCCATAATGGTTGTATAAACCAATCTTCCCCTGAGCACGCATTCTATCCACCTACAGCTTGTCTTGTCGATCCCTCTTCTCCTCGACGCCTGGATGATTGATTCTAATGACGTATTATCAAATGCGCCCTCAATGTCCAAGAAAGCAGCTAAAAGTACTTCCTTGTTCTTGTAAGTATGTTCTACTTTTTCAGTTACACGACATAGAGCCGTTTCTATTGACATACCTGACCTGTATGCATATTGGTCTCGATGTAATGGTCTGATAGCCAGTGATACGTCCCTGATATGCCTGTCAAGTAGTTTTTCTAGCATTTTCAACGCAAATGATATGAGACTAATTGGTCTCAAGGACTTCGCCTGGTCCTGTGCGATTTTCCCAGTTTTCGGAATCAAGGTGGCCCTGATCAGTCTCCAAATTTTTGGTATGTGTACCAGTGCTAAATTTGCCCTGATAAAATTATACACAATTTTTTGAAAAGTACTTCCGGTCTCTTTTGAAGCATTACTGGGTATATACCATCAGGTCCCGGCGACTTATAGGGATGAAGTAAGTTTGGAGTCTATTAATTTTCTCCAGATCTATCACCTTCTTTGTCATTCGCCAGTCCTCCCTGGATGCCCTTTCCGGGGTCTCCAGTTCTGAATTCGCCCTGGACTCCGGTGTTAGATTTGTAATTTCTGACCCGGAAAAGTATACCCGGAAAAGTTCTCTAATAGTCTCTTTTCCAGTTTTTGTATACTCCCCCCTATTTGTTTTCAGATTCTTCCTTGAGACTTGAGGTTCCTTCGAGAGTAATTTGTAGAGCCTGGCACATGCTTGGGTCTGTTCGACCTCCTCACATTACCTTCTCCACGTATCTCTCCACGTATCTTCACTTACATGAAGCACTGTCATTCCCACTGGTGAACACCGATGTTTCGCTGTAAAACATTGGCACCGAATCTGGGTAATATTATAAAAAATCACAGAATTCATTCATAAAATAATGACTCTGTCACGAACGAGTTTAATCCACTCATGACATTGATGACGGTACGCAATGTCATTCATTCGCTCATTTGATTGAATCCCAGCCAAAGGAGTCTTGGTCAAATTGAAAGGGGTATATTTTTAGAAGAGATTGATTTTCAGGAAAGACAGGTTTCGTCTCTCTACTTCTCCATCTTTATATACGAGAGGAATGAAAAATTTAAAAAAATACTTACTTTGCCTCATTGATGAATGTGCTAAAGGACCTCTTGGTGACCCTGAAACACAATATTCATTTAGATTTGGTTTTTGTTTTTGTTGTTTCCGTTTTTATGTTGTTTCATTCATGTGTGTTCCCACGAGTAGCAAGGTAAGAGTTGGTCAACTCTGGCAGAGCCCCGCATCACCAGAGGAAGGCTGATTACTCGGTTCCCCAAGGGGATCGTTCGTAACTGCATATCAACCTGCGGCCTTTTAGCTGTCGGCACGATTCCTTACACATTAGCTTGTGTAGGCTGGTCCACGGAGGCATGTTTTGCAAAGGCTTTTGGGGGGTTTTAGTTCCCCTCACCCTACTTATTTCTGCCATTGACCAGGAGTCCGGCGACCCCGTCCGTAAGACCAGCAACTTCAATGAAGCCTGAACTAGAAAAGCTGTACTTGATGCTATGGATGAAAATTCTTCATTTACGGACGAACCAAATTTTTCACTATTTTTGGGCCGACGAAAATCCCCACGTTATTAAAGAAAGTCATTTTCAGCAAGAGTGTTTGCTGAACGGTTGAGTAGAAATGATTGGTGAATACTTAATTGGCCCATTTTTTCTACCAACGATTAACAGGTGAATCTACACGACTTATGACGTGTTATGTTCAGAAGGTAAAATTTTAAAACTCATTCTTTCAGAATTTTTCAGAAATTAATAGAATCAAGATTTCGGCTCATTTACTGAATGACTAAATAGAATCAAACTCTCCGTTTCCCAAATGTGAAAACTGGTAATTGATTGATTGACATATGTTGATAATAATAATAATAATTTTATTAACCATCATCGGTACATAATGTACATATGGTAAATCAATAATTGTAATATATAAATGAAAAATGTGTGCTCTGGATTCGATGAAGTCGAGTAAGGCCGTTTTTGTCTGGTTCTGATTGGCGAAGGTTCTACCAGTGAGGAAGTTATCGAAATGTTTGAAAAGATGGTAGTCGGTTGGCGGGGAGGTCTAGGGAGTATGGTGGGTGAGGCAAAGTTTCGACGTTCAATTCGTTTGATTTTTAGACGGTTATTTGTCAATTGTGAGGACGGGCGTTGTCGTGGAACAGGATCGGACCTCTTCTGTTGACAAGTGACGTTGCTGTTGCCATAGTTTTCGGTAAATTTCGTCGTTTTCCTCAAAATAGGACTCTGCTGTAATGGTCTGGCCCGGTTGTAGAAAGTTAAAGTGAATCACACCAGCCGCTAACCACCATACAGTAACCATGGCCTTTGCTAAGTGTCTGGGTGGCTCATCGGTGTCCAACCACTGCCCTGAACGTCTCGTGTTGTCGTAGAGGATCCACTTTTCATCACAAGTGACAGTTCGATTCAAAAAAGTATCGTTTTGGTTGCACAAAAACAAAGAAGTATAGACTTTGAAACGTGACAATTTATGTCGATCGTTCAACTCATGGGCACCCACTTCTCAAGTTTTTTTACCTTTCCAATACGTTTTAAACCATCAAAAAGCGCATGAGAACTGACGTCCAATTGTTCCGCCATACCAGGAACTGTTTATGATGGGTCAGTCTCCATCACCNTTTTTCAAAAAGAGGAATGACCAAGCCTTTCTTGAACTCTTCTGGAAAGTAGCCTAGCATGTAGGATTGATTCATTAGATAAATGAGAGGAGATACAATAACAATTGGTATTGACATGTCGTCTGATCGACTCGAATTTTTATTTTTCATTAATCTCATTGCAGCATGAATTTCAGCTTCTGTAATCTGTCCATTCTCAAATGAGTGTACAATATTAACATTTGTACTGGTTGTATAAGGTAATGTTATTGATTCATTGTCAAACTGGGTAGTTAAAACTCAGGTACTTGAAATTCAGGTACAGATTTAAAAAAAATATAGGTATAAATTATTGAATATGTAGATTTAGTAAGTACAGACATGTCTGAAGAAGCTATTGTATAGCGAAACACGTGTTACGTTTTTGTAAAATTGTTTAGAGAAAATCTCGTAACAAAATTGTTCATGAATATACCATGAATATTCAAATGAGTTTTACGTTTTCCACAAAACTATTAATAGAGATATTTCATAAATAATATACTCACTTCGCGCAGGTGATGGTCTTCCTGATGGGCCTGAAACAAAAACAGGATTGTAACACTATCAATAATATGAATGTATTTACTAAAATGGGGAAGACTCTGAAAAGAATTCTTATCTAAATCAAAAAATCATTATTCATTAATCCACCCCACTATCACTAAAAGTATCCCCCACATAGACAACTTCAACTTTTCAATATTTTACGCCACTATCATCACACGAATGAAAATGAACCATGGTAGTAAGTTTTCTGCACATCTGGCAAAAATATGCATTGATGTGAATCCATTATGCTCATGTGAAAGTTTTTCTTTAGCGTCCAGGTTTCAAACTGTACCAGCCGGATTTCTTGAATAATTCGCTTTCTTCTAATGTTTATTTTCCAACCAATATAACAGTGCTTTCAGCTACACTCAATGAAAAAATATACAACATGATTCTGAAATTCATAATTGAATCTGAATTATCAATATAAAAAGTAGTAACTCGATTTATTTCGAAATTTCTGTGGCAAAATAAACTCCGGTTTGATGCCCGGGGATATTATCATCATCAGGGATGCTACAAATTAGATAAAAAGACAGTTTAGATCTATAAAAGGAGATCAGTCAAATATACAACTCACAGTGTATGTGAGGTTAGGCGGCAGAATGATTTAAATGCAGACACAACATATATGGGTGTAGAGACCAAAAACTAAACTCAAGAAAGTCGAGACGAACACCTAAATTTCATTATTATTATGTGTCACACGACAGAAAAACAGATTTACTGCCTTGGCTAGTTTCATAAAATTCTAGCCGCGGCAGTAAAACTGTTATTTATCTGCCTAGTTGAACAAATAACTCTCACATGATTTTGTAGATTGTATGTTTGAAATTCAATGATATTCCTCTCATTCAGAATATGCTCCACAAATGAATTTCATTTTGGAATATTTCTGTTATGAGTCATAGAAAAAGTGTAGTATTTCACTCGCAAAAATTCTCATCTGTGATGAGAAGTGGTGCTGTTGAGGGATTTTATTGAAATGCCAATAACATTTGTTGAGCAATTTAAATGAAATGCCATACAAAAATGCTTTAACTATAAATATGTTTCAATTTTAGCACAGCAAGTAATATTCAGAGTACTATGTTGATGTTTATACAAGAAATATGTATGTTGTATCTATCTTTGGTCTTTTGCTTCCCCTTATCATCAAAACTGTTCATCTGTCAGTTTGACACACAGATTTGGGGTCTATCTAAGAGTTCAATTTTTAAGAATATACGATGAAGTGTATATCAATTAATCTATTATTCACACCGTCCTGAAATCGTAATACTACGCTTTTTCTCATAACTTATTCATAGCGAATGCAAATATTCAAAAGCCCAACGTCAAATATTGAATATAACTTGACTAACCTGGTGTTCCTGGGCAATAACAGCATGATTGTGGGGGACAAGCCATGTTTTCACACTAAAAATTTTGAAAAGGAATTGTAAAAGTTTTAAAATCGACAAAAAATTTTGAGTGATTTGACGTACAAATTGACGTCCACTGATGTAGTTTTTGTTTTGTTTCATCTCTACTGACGCTCAGTTAATCTTCACTATAAAGGGTACTTTGGTTGGTTTTATGACAGAAAAAAAATGTTTTGAAAATTTTTTCTATGTTGAAGTCTTATATTTTGTCTTGGCCTGTCCATATCTAATTTCTCAATATATTTTTGGACTGCCAAATCGTTGAGTGCGACATACTTCATTTTGATTGAAAGTGTCTCTATATTTTTGAATTGTCTACTTATATAGTTTTGGGTGATAGCAGAATAGTTTTGTCAAGCACTTTGGTCTCTTGAAACGCGATAACTAGGGTATTTTTCTGAGTGCTTGTTTAGCAACTGCTGATGCGTCCAAAAATTAATCATTGAGTTGAATCCTAATTATTCAACAACAAATTAATCAACTTCCTTTGTCTCCCTGACCCTCTCTTTCAAAATCAGGAAAAGAAATAGAGTTTTTATGGAATTTTGACTAACAGTTTCAATCTCAAATAGTTTAGAACCTTGATATTTATAGTAGTTGTTCAGTTCAATCCTGGCTGGATTTATGTCATGCTGGTGAACAGAACTGCAACTACGACTCTTCAAGGTGGGACTATTAGGTTCAGGTTCAGCAGAGACGACCCTCAAGGTGGGGTACTATCTTTCCTTCTGTGGTCAGAAAAAAAAATCAGAAGAAAGGCATCTGCAAGCTTATGCAGATGACCTTGTCATCCTGGCAAGGTCCACGTCGGGAAGGGTAACTTGTAATATACTCCAAAGCACGATGGACGTTGTTCACAGTTGGTGCCTGAGGGAGCAGATGTCTGTCAACCCCAGCAAAACTATGATACTCCCCTTCACCAGGAGGAGAAAATTGGACGATCTAACGCCACTTTCCCTCAATGGTGAGGTCATTCCATTTGGAACGGAGCTAAACTTTCCTATGGACATGTCGGAAGATTTGTAGCAAAACTTGTAGTTTAGGTCCCAAACAAATTGTCAGACCAATGATCACTTATGGTGCAATTGTCTAGTGGCCGAAGGCTTTACAGAAAACGGTCCAGGCGAAGCTCCCTGGCTTACAGAGACAGGCTTTTCTGGCCATCAGTGGTGCCATCAGTACCACACCGTCAGCAGGCATATGGATCCTTCTAGATCTACCTCCTCTCCACATTTTTCTGGAAAAAGTGGCTGAATGGACTGCATATAAACTTGTGCATATTGTCAATTGCACAAGTCAATTCATTGCAGTGTGCAACAGACTGTTGGTTGACACTGGAAGTCACAGCATTCTGGAAATGACCTCTGACTTTATGCCTCCAACTGTCAACTACCAACTGCCTTATGAAGTACTGTTACCGAGTGAAGAAGACTGGATCCTCCGAGAGAAGGATATATTAAGAGCAGATAGTTCTTGGTTCACAGATGGATCAAAAACACCTTCCGGCTCCGGTGCAGGTGTTTTCAGTCGCAGACCTAGGACAGTGATATCAACCTGCCTAGGAACCTATGAGACTGTATTTCGAGCGGAAATTTACGCAACTGGATTGTGTGCGGAGCGATTGGAAGGATCAAACCTCATATAAAAGTCAATTAAATATTCTCGGACAGTCAAGCGGCGTTGGAGGCTCTTGACTCTTATTGAGCAACGTCTAAATTGGTAGCAAATTGCCAATAACGACTATCTTCAATAGAAAGACTTAAAAGGTTGTCTCTAGTCTGGATTCCTGGCCATACTGGTCTGGAAGGCAATGAGGCAGCTGACTCCCTTAAAAAGAAGGGTGCTGCAAGCAGTTTCATCGGACCAGAACCTATAATTGCCATCGCTTCAGGCTTTGCCCAACAAAGATTGAACACCTGGATGGCAAGAAGATTTATGGACTTCTCACAGAATCTTCTAGGATTGGCTCACTCCAAGGCGTTTATACACTCTTCGAAGCTTGAAACCGAACAGTTGTTGAACTACAGTAGGGGTGAAAAACGAATTCGAATTGAACCAAAGCGCTGTCGAAATAAAGCGAAAAATCACCAACATGTTTGATAATGATAGTGTTCATGAACGCACTGTTCGAAGTTGGTTTGGGAAATTTTATTCTGGAGATTTCAGACTTGAAGATAGGCCCCGAAGTGGTCGACTTACAATTATTCAAGAAAAGGATTTGTGGAACCTGATAAAAACTGACCCATCACAAACGGTGCATGGAATAGCAAAAGAACTAAGCGTCAGCTCCCATGCGATTTTACATGGTTTTGGATCGGATCGTCACGTGTGATGAAAGTGGTTCCTCTACGACAACAGGACTCAGGCACAAATCCACAAAAAACATGGTCACTGTATGCTGGTCAGCGGCTGGTGTGACTCAATATATCTTTCTCCAACTGGGCCAAACCATCACAGCAGATACTTATTATAAGGAAATCTCCTCCAAAGATCTCGCCTACCGGCAGTGATGCAAAAATCCCAGTGCCGAAAACCAAACTGGGTTTGAATTTGCTCGCAACAACTGTACTTAGGATAAATGAAAGCAAGGAACTTCATAATCAGAAAATTAAGGATAAACTGCTTGCTAATCCCAATTCTACCACTTACACAAGCGGATGGTTCAATTGCAACAACAGCCATAGAGAAGGCAAGGCAAATCTGCTAGCTGAACATTTTGCGTCCCACTCCACAGTCGATTTTCTGGAAAAGGTACCGCCCACTATTCCCACACTGAAATCCACAACGCCGAAAATTTCTTTTCGACATCGTCTAGTTAGGCGAACATCAACAAGGCGTCTGGTCCTGATTGGCAGACTTTTCAACCTGTCATATAAGAAAGGGATATTTCCTTCTTGTTGGAAGATTGCTCGCGTTCAGCCTATTCCCAAAAAGGGCAAAAACTCCAGATAACTATAGACCAGTCACTTTGCTATCAGTGATATTAAAAATCGTGGAGAAAGTCGTAAACCACCATTTGGAAGGCTTCAACATCTTCAGCGATCATCAATATGGCTTTCGGAAACAAAGATCAACAGGCGACCTTCCATCGTATGTCACCCATATTTGGAATAACGCAATCGAGAAACATGGAGAGTCAAGAGCTGTTGCGCTTGATATTTCCAAGGACTTCGTCCGTGTATGGCAAGAGGGTTTGCTGGTCAAACTTCGATGCTATAGCTTGTCGGATCATTTTTGTGAATGGCTCTTCAGCTTCCTAAGAGAACGTTTCCTGCTAGTGGCCGTCGATGGAAATCTTTCGCATACTTTCACCATCAACGCTGGTGTTTCCCAGGGATCCATACCGTCTCCAAACCCTCTTTTTATTGTATATCAACGACTTATTGAATAAAACCAAGAATCCAATATATTGGTCTGCTGACGAAAGCACACTTGTCTCGTCATTCCATTTAGATTCCAGAACATCGGCTAAGGAGGCACATCTTCACCGTCAGGAGAAGGTTGCATATCTTAATGAGGATCTAGAAGTGATTTCGAATTGGGGTGAAAGTAACCAGGTTCAATTCAATGCCACAAAAACCCAGGTATCGGTTTTCTCGAAGAAGATGAATGTCTCCGAACCGGATATAATAATGTCAGGTCAGACAATTCTGCTTTCTGCTTCGATAGATTTGTTGGGAGTTGGCACAATCATGTCGCTGGAATTACGAAGGCTGCTGCTCAAAGTCTTGGAACACTGTTCTGAACCAGAAAACTGTACTCACCTCAGCAACTTTTGATGCTTTATAAAGCTAAGATCAGACCTCTTTCGGAGTATTGTTCTCGTGTATGGAGCTCTGCCCGCCTGATTGGAGACGCGAATATTACGTATAAAGTTGATAGCCTGGAACATCGAAGAAAGGTTGGAGATTTGTCTCTCTTCTATAGATACTTTCACGTGAAGTTTTCAAGTAACTTAGTACATTCAATTCCACCAAGAGCGCGGTACATATCAGAAATACGTAACGAACTGTGGTATCTTTTGAGGTTCCACTCAGAACACCTCGAACTCCACTGTTTAGGAACTCTTTCATCAGGACAACTGCGTTTTGTCCTCACAAAAAACATATTAAAAATTGCGTTAGCAACAGCCGGCACTGCCTCACGCACCATATTCCCCAGTTCTCTCGCCAACCGACTACCATATTTTCAGCACTTCGATAACTTTCTTACTGGTAGAACCTTTGCCAATCAGGACCTGACAGAAACGACCTTCGTTAACTTTATCGATTCCCGATTACCTAATTTTCATGCTGATGGAATTAATCGACTTTTGTTACGTTGGCAAAGATGCACTGATTTAAATGTCACTCAATTTAATTAAATCAATTATAATAGGGGGGCCCAAGTGAGGATTTCGGGATTTACTAAAGCGCGGCAGATTAATATACAGGGGAATATCTTGTACGCGGTTAAGTACCTCCACCAAATATGAGCCCCATATATAAAGCCGCCTGTGAGGGATAAAGATTCAGATCAATAAAAAAAAATATCATCAGAAATTCTCGAGCGCGTCAGATTGAGGTAGGGTGAGTTAATTACCTGCTAAAAAGTGTATACTCCAGTAATCTGACAATTTGAGAATGACATAAAGAAAGGGGAGGGCAGCAAAGTTGTAAAAAAATAACGTCATTTCGACATTCTCGAGCTAGCGTAGCTAGTTTTTTTTATTTTGAAGGAAATAATTCAAGGATAACGAAAAATATATAATCTGACGATTTCCGCAAGCCGGAATAACAAAAATTTGTCGATAAAGTTTAATACTTGCCTCTCCGAGTTTCTATTCCTCTATTCTCTATTCACTTTTTGTCTATCTATTACTCTCTCACAGCTGATCACAGAGACTCCTTCGTGATGAAGATGAAGATGATGATTAATTCATCAATTAATTGATGGATGTAGCCGTTACTATGTTGTAGGAAATCATAATGAAGAAAAGAGAAATTAAACTTTCTATGTTTTTTACCACTTTTATTTGTAACTAACGTAATATAACATTTTTTTCTTCTTATCATCTAAGCTTATTGAAAATACGTAGGGACATTGATGCTATCAATATCTGACGCGCTCGAGTATGTCCACGCAACAGTATTTTTTTACATATTTAAAAATCTATAGCCGCTTCCCCCAACCATGAAAAGGTATAGCTTTGCAACCTAATATGTTTCAATGACTCTCGAGTAAATCTACATTTTGAATCGTGGGCTCCCGTGCTATTAGTAGGCTCATGAAAATGAACAAATCTCTTGAAAAAGTCCGATAAATAATGGCATAAGGAGCGTAATATCTATATCTATCTATTCATTATCTATTTATAAATTCGTGAGGTGAAAGGTTTCATAAGATCATTTCCAGCCGCCGCCACTGTTTAATCGGTTTTAAAATCCGCCGTATAACCGATTATCACATCAGTTCGTTAGTTTGGTTCGTGTCAGAAGGATAACATGTTCAAGTTTTTATCGGTAGTTTTTTTAGTATACGTATGGGAGACTTCAGGTACAAAATTCGAACCAAACTGGGAAAGCCTGGATACAAGGCCTCTACCAGCATGGTACGACGAAGCCAAACTAGGAATTTTCATACACTGGGGTGTATTTTCCGTTCCTAGTTTCGGATCAGAATGGTTTTGGAATGATTGGAAAGGTACGTACGTTAACTTATGTACGGTGGGAGGAATTGGTTATGTTGACTACCTTAAAATACACACATCGGAAAAGTCTAGGGATATTTTTAAAAATGGCAATAATTTTTTTTAGATCGCTTCAGGAAAAAAANTGTATTTCTGGAGTGAACATATTACAACAAGAGTTGATTGTATATGTTGGTAATGAACAATTTCAAAATTGAATGATTTTAGAAATGTTTCCATCTATACAAAGCTGTATTACCAGCGAGAAACAAGGGCTGCTTTTTATTTTCAAAATACTAGAGTTCCCTAAGACGCATCAAAAGCAATACAATGCGTTTAGACAATTTCATCAACTCTTTTTTGACAAATCAATAAACTCTCCCATTCCCAGTTGCCAATTTTCAAAATTTTGAAAGGATGAATTGGTTTTCCTTTCGGCTAAGTGTAAGTCACCTACAGTCCTTTCTGACCTGAGACCAATTACTATCCTCCAGTGTCTCTCTAAAGTAGTAGAATTGATACTGAAATGTCAGATTGATAATTATGCCAATAAAAATCATATCAAATCAATGAATATCAGGATTCAGACCTCAGCATAGTACTCTACCTGTAGCTGTTTAGTACTTCTATATTATAGCAAGGCCTTTAACCCTCTTGATCACGAGATACTGTGTGACAAACTTGTCTTCTACGGTTTTTCTTGGAAAGCAGTGTCACTAGAAACTAGGCGAGTTGGCTCTCCTTGTTTATCTTTCAGTGCTTGAATCACTGTGCATGCTGTTTTTGGCATTGGTGCATTGGTTTCGGATGTAGGGGTTGACCAAACCGGCCATTGGATGCCTGCTTCCATGCAGCCACGCTGGATACGGGAATGACAGAATCACTTGTGGTTCTGTTATTCCCTACCTGAGTGGCTTAATCCTAAGATGTGTGGATCCGTGCCGAGAAGATGAATGACACTGAGCCTATCAGCTGTCTCTACGGAACCTTTGAGATACCGGGCGCCCTCTCGTCGTAGCATCGCCTTGTCACGGTAATGCGGGACTCTGCCGTTATTGATCTTCTTTCCCTAGCTACTCGTGGAACTTTTATGAGCAGAGTGAACTTAAAAATTCTTTCTGACGCTGAATCTACAGAGGAGATAGATGTCAAGCTCACGACACCAACTGACCTCCCTGTACATTTATATCAGGAGCAAGCCTACAGAGGAGATGGATGTCGAGTTTAGGACTCCAACTGACCTCTCTGTAAATTTAGTTGAGGAGCGAGAGCTTCTCAACTCTCCTACTCGTTATCCAATAACTGAACCTGAACCTGAACCTGGTGGTGCAGCCAGGAAACGACTGAGTCGTCTCTTAAAGAGAGGGATACTTATAAAATCGCCTTGCACCAAATTCTTGAGCGGTCAGCAAACGTTTGCGCTCAAGTGATGATTCACGACTCATATGGGAAGATTGTCGCGGGTATCAAGGTGGAAATCTTGCACCTTGACCACCCAACTACCTACCCAACTACTTCATGCCTGCCGCGCTGGGTACCGAATCAGGTTTTTAGAGTTCGGCAGAGCCGTACTCTTAACATCTGACCTGAAAGACCACTCACCATACAAACTAATCGGGCCTTGTTAAGAAGCTGGGTTTATTGAATCGAGTTTGAATAGGTGTGAGCCAGAATAAACCCCTGCGGGTTGCGGTGGAGGGTCGAATAGACCCACTCACTTTGGACCTAACCTAACTCAACCTAACCTTAAGGAAGCATTTCAAGAATCGTTCTCAAAAAGTTGTTGTGGATGGATGCTCCACGATATCGAAGGGAGTACCACAAGGATCTATCCTGGAGCCCTCGCTTTTTAGCTCGTATATTTGTAGTTTTTATCTGTTCATGAATAATGCAATATACAGCACTGTGCAGACGACACGCAGTTATATTTATCTTTTTCGCCTCTTAATTCTACATTTGCTCAGTCATTTATTGATAACGATCTTCAAGTCATCTTTGACATTTTCATATATTTCAAGTATCATTATAGCAAGCTCATGCTTGCTATAATGATACTTGGATCTAAGAAGAAAAGGGAGCTCCCTAACTCCACTTTTCAAGTCCGCATCATAAATGAGATACTTACCTCCGTTACCGAGATTTGAAATTCAGGATTGTGATTTGATTTAGAACTTCGCTTCATTGAACATGTCAACTATCTGACCCAAACTTCTTATAACATTCTCAGGCAGCTGTTTCTATATCGTGATTCACTCGACACAAACTTGAAAGTCACTGATCATGTCGAAATGTTCTTATTGCAACGGTATTTATGGACCTGCTTCAAGACAACCGACTGCTTTTCGACTACATCGTATTCAGAATAGCTTTCTACATTTCTTGTTTGGTATCTGGAAATATGGCCAAATATCCTTAACTATGCAAAAATCAGGATTGTTAAAAGTTGAGAAACTTAGAACTCTGCGCCTGAAGTTTTGAACTGAGAACTCTGCGCCTAAAGTTTTGATATTTTGTTAACCTGATCACTTACTGGAGAAGCTTAGAACATTCTCGACAACTAATACTTTCACCACACGGAACAGTTTAAGTTTCGCAAAATACTCCCATATATACTTCCACAAATGACTGTATCATTTAATTTTGTGTTTCAGATAAAGATGAAAAGTATGTAAACTTCATGAAGAAAAATTATGCACCATCTTTCACATACCAAGAATTTGCCAAGGACTTCAAAGCTGAGTTTTTCAACGCCACTGAGTGGGCAGAGCTGTTTGCCAAATCTGGAGCTAGGTTAGTTGTGATTCTTCAAAGACGATTTTTTTATTACATTAATTTAAATGAGTCTAAAATTATAATATATCACAATTATAATAATGTACATAACTACGTACAAACAAAAAATGGATGACTGAATATATTTTGAGAATCTGATGATATGATTCAACATCATACATTTTATTTTCTCATTCTTCATGGGTTTTCACCCTTTGTTCTTCAATATTTCAAAACAAAACAAAATTTTCTCTTGGAAAAAACGTGAATTTGATCAGTATATATATATACTATATATTATACAGTGTCATCCCTAAAGTACGCACCATATGGGAAACTTTTTTATTAAGGGTTTTTCGACAAGAAGTTATTCTTGATAAAAGTTTGTGCATCCCCTGAAACTGAACATGCACTAACAAAATATACTACAACATACGTAATATACGAGGAACCTTCAAATATTTGATTTTGTGACAGGAGTAAAGTACTCTTATTTTGAAAAATTTCGGGAAATGTTATCCAGAAAATTTGTTCAGCATCGAAAAATACATCTAGATTTGAAGGCAGGGCCATCTAAGTGGAGTTTTATTTTTTTAACCTTTTTTTTTAAATGGGGACTACGAAAAACAAATTTTTGCTAAAATGATAAATAGACATGAACGACGGTTCATTTTGAAAGCCTGTAATTTTACAAATTACACAACTGTCGTGTTAACCACGGTCAACTTTTTTGAAAAGTAAATTAATTTTCAGTTATTTTATTTTTTGTTATCATTAAAAATTATTCAAAATCAAACAGTATTGTAACAAAACCTCAATATTCAATAATATCAAATCACAAAACATCAAAATAAAATAGGTATTTCTGAACCAACTCTGATTTCCTGGAGATTTTCTTGTCCAAAATAAGTGTTTTAAGTTGATGTTTTGTGATTTGATATTATTGAATATTCAGTTCTTGTTACAATAGTCTTTAATTTTGAGTGATTTTCGGTGTTAACAAAAAGTAAAAATAACTTAGCACAAAAAACTTTGAAAATTAATCAACTTTTCAAAACAATTGACCGTGGTTAACATCATAGTTGTGTAATTTGTAATATTACAGGCTT